TGGATTTAGTCAACAATTCACATGACTTTTCAACTTACAAGCTCTCATAATATCAAGTGTGCAAAATCTGTAAGGGTTGTGAAATAATGCAACTCAGATGGGGACTTGAACCCACGGTTTTTAAACAGATCACACACATGGCCTCAGGGCTTTAATGCAGCTCACCTTCTTGATGTCTCATCACAGAAAGAATTCAGTGAGACACAAAGTGATAGGCAAGAAGTGAATTCATTTAGAAAGAAACACACTGAACAGAGCATGGGCCATCTCAGAAAGCAAGAGGGGCCCCAGAGGATGGGGTTGTCAGTTTTTACAGGGTTGGGTAATTTCATTAGCTAATGAGTGGTAGGATTATTCCAATTATTTCGGGAAGATGCAGGGATTTCCAGGAATTGGGTCACCATCCACATGTTGACCTTTTATAGTCGGCCTTCAAACTGGTGGCTCAGAAGGTAAAGAATCCGCCTGCCGTGGAGGAGACCCAGGTTGGATCCCTGGGTTGGGAAGATCCCCGAAGAAGGGAATGGCTACCCACTACACTATTCTTGCCTAGAGAATTCCATGGACAGAGGAGCCTGGCTGGCTATAGTCCATGGGGTCACAAAGAGTCAGACACAACTGAACAACCAAGACACACTTTGGAACTGCCATGGAGCAGGTGTGTCACTTAGCTAATGCTAATGTATTACAATGAGGTTACCATAAGGCTCAAAGTCCACTGGAAGTCAAATCTTCTGCCATCTTCTACCTAGTTGGTTATAACCAGATTTTGTCATGCCCTATGGCTATGTCCTTTTATACGGTTCATGAGGTTCTCACAGCAAGTATACTGGGGTGGTTTGCATTCCCTCCTCCAGTGGATCACATTTTGTCAGAACTCTCTGCTATGGTCTGTCCATCTTGGGTGGCCCTACATGACATGGCTCATAGCTTCCTCAAGTTACACAAGCCCCTTCACTACAACAAGGCAGTGATACAAGCTGAATGAGTTACAAGCTGGAATCAAGATAGGCAGGAGAAACATCAACAACCTCAGATATGTGGATTATACCACTCTAATGGCAGAGTGAAGAGGAACTAAAGAGCCTCTTGATGAGGGTGAAGGAGGAGAGTGAAAGAGCTGGCTTAAACTAAATATTAAAAAAAAAAAAAACTAAGATCATGTCATCCAGCCCCATTACTTCATGGCAATGAGAGGAGGAAAAGGTGGAAGTAGTGACAGATTTCCTCTTCTTGGGCTCTAAAATCACTGCAGATGGTGACTGAGGCCTTGAAATCTGAAGACGTTTGTGACTTGGCAGGGAAGTTATGACAAAGCTAGACAGTGTGTTGAAAAGCAGAGACATTATTCTGCGGGCAAAGATATGCATAGTCATGGCTGTGGTATTCCCAATGGTCACATACAGTTGTGAGAGTTGGACCATAAAAAAGGCAGAACACAGAAGAACTGATGCCTTCTAACTATGGTGCTTGAGAACACTCCTGAGTGTCTCCTGGACAGCAAAAAGATCAAACCAGTCAATCTTAAGGGAAATCAACTCTGCATACTCATTGGAAGGACTGATGCTGAAGCTGAAACTCCAGTATTTTGGTCATCTGATGCAAACAGCCGACTCACTGGAAAAGTCCCTGATGATGGAAAAGATTGAGGGCAGAAGGAGAAGAGGGTATCAGAGGATGAGATGATTGGATCGCATCACCAATGCAATGGACATGAACTTGGGCAAACTTTGGGAGATGGTGAGGGACAGAGGGGCCTGGCATGCTGCAGTCCATGGGGTCACAAAGAGTTGGACATGACTGGGCAACAAAGCCTATGTCATTCTTTTAAAGGTTGTGCCCTACCGCCTTCCCTTCCGCTTCAGTTGGATTTGTGGGAACATAAAGGGTACATTCACCTCCTAAGACCTTTCCTTTCCATTAATGTAAGGAAAAATTATGTCTGAGCACTGTCTTCAAAAGACATCTAGCTTCTATAGCTCTTATTTTCCTTCGCATTTCAAAAAGCAATGCTTTTCTATACTTGAAAGTCGACATCACTTTGCCGATAAAGGTCCGTATAGTCAAAGCTGTGGTTTTTCCAGTAGTCATGTACGGATGTGAGAGTTGAACTATAAAGAAGGCTGAGTGCCAAAGAACTGATGCTTTTGAACTGTGGTGTTGAAGAAGACTCTTGAGAGTCCCATGGACAGCAAGGAGAGCAAGGCAGTCAACTCTGAATATTCACTGGAAGGACTGATGCTGAAGCTGAAGATCCAATACTTTGGCTATCTGATGCCAAGAGCTGACTCACTGGAAAAGACCCTGATCCTAGGAAAGACTGAGGGCAGGAAGAGAAGAGGGTGGTAAAGGATGAAATGGTTGGATGGCATCCCTGACTCAATGTACATGAGTTTGAGCAAACTCCGGGAGAGAGTGAAGGACAGGGAAGCCTGGCGTGCTGCAGTCCATGGGGTCACAGAGTCGAACATGACTGAGCGACTGAACAACAACAAAATACTTGAAAGACCTTCTACAGAACTAAGGATCTAACCATTAAACATATTCAATGGAAACACTCAAAGTAATGATTTCATTACCCTTGCTTAATGACCAGCCCCTCTTCCCTGGGAGCCACATCAAATAGGGTAAACCAAAACTGTGCAGTCTATGAAAAATTCACTATTTTATTTAATGAAACACTGTAATCCATATAAATTTTCCATATAGCTTCATGTTAACTGCCTAACTCTAGGCTATCACAGATTTTAGTTTTACAACAGTAAGGTACAGACAAAAATTAAGACTTGTAACAGAAAAAGGAAAAGACAGAGGTTGGGCTGAGTCACTGTGACGTTTATAAAATTACAAGGTTTATCAACGAAATAAAAAACATGCCTTTAAAACATTTTTAAAAGTGAGTCAGCCCCAAAGAATCAGAAACAGCTCTACCCACAATAGCCAAAAGGTGGAAACAGACCCAAATGTCCATCAACTGATGAATAAACAAAATGTGGTATCCTTTCATACAATGGAAAATTACTTAGCCATAAAAAGGAATAAGCACTGATATGTGCAATAATATGGATGAATATTGAAAACATACACTGAAAGAAGCCAGACACAAAAGGCCACGTACTGTATGGTTCATTTATAGAAAATTTACAGAATAGGCAAGTCCATAGAGTCACTAGACTAGTGGCTGCCAGGGGCTGGGGCTGGGAAGAGGGAAGTATGGGGCAAGGGAGAAACAGAGAGTGACTGCTTAATGGGTCTAGGATCTCCTTTTGGGGTGATAAAAATGTTCTAGAACTAGACAGTGGTGATGGTTGCACAATGCTATTAATGTACTTGACGCCACTCAATTATACCCTTTAAAACAGTTAAAATGATGAATTTTATTATGTGAACTTTACCACCTTCCAAAGAAACATAGGTCACAATTTTCTATTTTATTTTAGGAATAAGAATTGGAACACAGTTTATTCTACTCAGCTGAGCATACGTATACTAAAAACCTCAGGAATTCAGAGCAAGGTTTTGCTATCTATGTGCTCCTAAGGCAAGTTATTTAAGCTCTCTGAACCTCCCTGATCTATAAAATGGGCATAATAAAAGTATTTTATATAAATGTTATGAAGATAAAATAGAGATAAAACAATCTAAGCACAAAATCAGGCCCATTAAAATTAAATTGATCAATAAAATGATCAATCTCAGCCCTTGAGTAGGTGTCTTTTCAATATTCTGTGTGATGAAATTAGCAGGATGTATAAATCACTTGGACTGTATATGAGACTAGATGGCTGTCTGTAGGAAAGGCATTTGCAAGCTTGTTAGGTTTATAGCTCAACTAGCCTCTTTGTCCATGGAACACCATTTTTGCTTCAAAGAACAACTGACAGACAAATTATGGTTATTCAGACTTGGCTTTTTGGCAGACATTTTCTCAAAAAAGAACTTCATGGAAAACAATTACCAGTATTTTTTTTTCCAATAACAAAATTCAAGCTTTCAAGTGAAAACAAGAATTTTGGAAAACATGTCTGCTACCATGAGCTTGACAGATTCCCATACTTAAAGATTTTGATGAAATTAGTAGTGATATTAATGTACTTTTTTCTCCAGTTTTCCTGAGAGATAATTGACATTCATCACACACAAAAAACTGATTCTGTACCCTTTTTTTCTTCCATTAACTCAAAATTCACTTTCATTGGAACTGAAAGAGGAGACAACTGAGATTATTAATTCAAATTGAGATAAGCGAAACTACATGAGACCCTCCAGGAAAGCAATCTGGAGGCCTGCCTAGAGACACAGATTTTCTCTAGAGGATTTTTTGTTCAGTGTGAGCTCTGTTTTATCCTGTCCCAGTGAAAAGGCCACACAAAAACAAACTTCCGATTCAAGATGGGCTCCTCTGCTCACCAAAGGCCTTGCATAGGCTAAAAAATAGCACTAACACTGAAAATGGCCTCAGAAATAGTATGGGTTGCAGACTGAGAATCTCTAATAGGGATTAAGGTGTGGTAATAACAAAAATTAAAAGCAGCAACCATTTTTAATGTATGCTGTTAGCAAGTGCCAAGCACTGATCTAGGAATTTTCTATTACTTCAATTTTAATATTCCTATGGAATTTGTGTTACAGCCCTGTTTTGCCCTTTTTTTCATTAGATCTGTATTATGTCACTTTTGAAACTACCATCCTAGTATGCCATTCTTCTGCCTCCTATTATCCTAGAAAACATGAAGGAAGCACTGAGTTCCATAAAAACTAGACTGTACTATCAATATCCACCATCCAAGTAATCCAATAATTACCAAACTAAAAGTCTGATACTTCTTCCTACAACAAATTCCTCTTGCAAAATATTAACTTACTATTTCAGAATAAGAAATACAATACACTCCTTACAATAGGAAGATCTCAAAGAAAAGCAATCAAAACTACCTAAACTTCCAGGAATGCTCTGAGGTACCTATTGATTAAAACAAAGGAATATTTCAGAAACATACCTGTTGGAGCCATCTTTCATATGGACTTTGGCATAAAGAACATCCACCATGCCAGGATCATCATTCATGTATTCTATCCCTGCCATCTCTACTTCCAGGGGTTTGCCCCCTGAAATGTCACTGCAAAGGAAAAAACATTAGATTTTCATAATTTTTTAAGCTAAGAGGGCTATTATATTTTGAAACATGGTAAACATACAGAGTCAAATATTACAAAAATGAAGTTGTTGGGGTTTTTTAATTTAACTAACATGATTTAACTGTCCTTCTAATTTCAAACTGATACATGTTTAATGAACACAAACTAGAACCACAAGTATTCCCAAAGTCACACCATATCTATCCCAAGACCAATTTATTATTAATAGCATATCTATCTAAGAAATGTCTAATGAAAGACCAAGTGATGACAGTTCTGACTGACAGGGCATTTACTGCACTGCCCACCTCTCCAGCTGTTAGGGAAATTAAAATGGACGTGGTCTTGTTCAGGGTTCAGAAGTAGCGGAGAGGCCTCCAACCAACTTCTGACCTTGTCTGGGCCCTGCCTGGACTATGTGCCTGCTTGTGAACACACCAATCATTACCAGTAAGTCAAATGGCACTTTAGATAAGAAAGGGAGTGGATCTTGGAATTTTTTAAGCCCCTGGAGGCCTGGCTAACCCCACTCAAGCCTAACGAAATTTGGTGACTCACAAGATGAAACAATCAGCATCATAAAAGCAAAACCACAGCTGCATTTTTGCACACAAACTGATGATGACACCAGTTTGTGTCCTGGGATTATAAATGGGAGCCCCCACAAACTGCAATTCAAAATCTCGCCCACAGAGTAGATGAATGGCTCAGGGCCCTTCTCCATTGAGACTCCAGATTGCTGTTAATAAGGTATTTCCAAGAAGGGTTCAAGTATGGGTGTAGGTGTCAGCTCAATTTGGTGATGTGTACTCTGCATCTTCTCTCTATTGTTTCTATTTCTTTTTTCCCCCAATGACTGTATATTGAAATTAAGTTAAATAATCTGCTATTAGAAGTTAAAATTGTTTAAATGTGTGTAATGAGTAGTTTCTTGTTAATAAATCCTTCAAACCTAAAACAAAGCAAAACATTCAGCAAAACACCAGTTTTTACCTCATTATTTCTACAAAGTGCAAACAGTATTTTATGCATGTAACAACAGTGAAGGTGCAAATTGGTATCACATCTTTAAGAGCAATTTGGCAATATTTATAAAAAGCCTTCAAGAATAGAAACCCTTTGCTCAGGCACATATCCAACCACAGCCAATAAAGAAAGTTCTTTCAGAAGAATTCCAACTGATAAATGTATAAGTAAAAACAGAATCAGAATATCACTATTTTTCAACACCTGATGAAATATTTAATCAGTTTCATTATTTGTACAAAGGATGGAAAGTGGAAGTGTTAGTCACTCAATCATGTCTGACTTCTTTGCGACCCCATGGACTGCAGCCCTCCAGACTCCTCTGTCCATGGGATTTTCCAGTCAGAAATACTAGAATGGGTTGCCATTCCCTTCCCCAGGGTATCTTCCCAAGTCAGGGATCGAACTCAAATCTTCTGCATTGCAAGCAGATTCTGTATCATCTGAGCTGCCAGGGAAGCCACCAAGGATGGGGATAAGAAAAATTAAACATATACATCATATACATACACACACACACATATATATATGCTTATACATATGTAAAATCTCAGAACTGATATAATACAAAGAAGATCAGGGTGCTTGGTGGGATGCACCAAGGTGCAGTGGGAAGGAAACTCTTCACCACATATCCTTTGAACTTAAAATTTTTTGAACCATGTATTATTCATTAAAAAGTTAAAATAAAAAAATACATGCAAAAGAAGCCAAATTCAAGAAGTATATATACTGCACATACATGAAAAAGAAGCCAAACATAAAAGCATATGTGCTTAATGATTCTATTTATATGATATTAAAGAACAAACACATTTAATCTATGATAATAGAAATCCGAACAGCAGTTACTTCTGGAAGAAGTGAATTTACTGGAAAACAGCATGAAGGAACATCCTAGGGTAATGGCAATGTTCTCCATGGGGATTTGGGTGAGGTTACATGGGTGTACACATTTATTAAAATTCATCAACTACACTTAAGATCCATGCATTTTACTGTAAGTAAATTACACCATAAAGAAAAAATACATATATGAATACAAAAAAGTATGGGCACATATGCTCCAAACTGCTGATGGTAATTATTTTTAGGTAATACTACTACAAGGGACATCTTGTTTATCCGCAATTTGGGGCTTTTATAAAGCTAACATGTATTGCTCTCCTGTTAAATAAAATCCACCATCTTGCTTTCTTCTCAGACCCCTTAAACAGATTTATACTTCAACTAGTAAATAGGTGTGCCAACCCAAAACCCAGCTAAAAATCAGCTCATCACACAGCCTTCTCCAAGGCCCATGAGGCCAAGGACTCTATTCATCTTTTCTACTCCCATATCCCCAGCAACTGGAACAGTGCCTTATGTAAAGTGAGTACTTCATAAATCTCTGATGATGTTCCACTGTAACGGGAGATGTTCTGGACAATTTTGTGATTATGGACACATGCCTATATTATCATTGAATAATGATATGTAGGATAATTCATTGAATAATGAATGTGGTACTGGCTCAAAGACAACAGGATGTTATGATTCATCAAAAGATAATCCCAAATAAAGAAAAACAAAAAAGTCTTACTGATATTTAATTGAGGCCCAGGGAGATTCTTTAGGAATCCTAATGACAGACTTCCTTAAAACATTAAGGCCATTATTCTTTCACAAGATCAGAATTTTTCTAAGAAACTACATAACCCAACTATTTCAGACAGACAATTGAATGAAAAAAATAAGTCTCAATCATAATTATCTCTATAACCACATCCAACAAGTGGGATACTCGAAAACACAAGCCAAACTCCGAAATATCATCTGATTGAAGACTTTAGCTTCAATCACCAATACAGTGCATCTTCATTCCTAGTAATAGCCAAAGAATTCAATATGAAAGACTGCCATTCAATTCATTCAAGTGCAGTCAACAAAACTGTTTTCAGGGAAAAAAAAAAAGTTTAATACTAAGTATACATTCCTCTACATTTTCTCAGCTCCAACTCTGCATAGTTAGACCACCAGAAAGCATCATACCCTTGGTTTAGTTTCCCACTAAAAAATTTGTACCAGGTTATATTTCATGTTCAGTTCACTTCAGTTCAGTCACTGAGTCGTGTCCAACTCTTTGCTACCCCATTAACCACAGCACACCAGGCCTCCCTGTCCAGCACCAACTCCCAGAGTCCGCCCAAACCCATGTCCACTGAGTCGGTGATGCCATCCAACCATCTCATCCTCTGTTGTCCCTTTCTCCTTCTGCCCTCAATCTTTCCCAACATCAGGGTCTTTTCAAATGAGTCAGCTCGTTGTATCAGGTGGCCAAAGTATTGGAGTTTCAGCTTCAGCATCAGTCCTTCCAATGAATATTCAGGACTGATTTCCTTTAGGATGAACTGGTTGGATCTCCTTGCAGTCCAAGCGACTCTCAAGAGTCTTCTCCAGTTCAAAAGCATCAATTCTCCGGTGCTCAGCTTTCTTTATAGTCCAACTCTCACATCCATACATGACCACTGGAAAAACCATAACCTTGACTAGACCTTTGTGGACAAAGTAATGTCTCTGCTTTTTAATATGCTATCTAGGTTGGTCATAACTTTCCTTCCAAGCAGTAAGCATCTTTTAATTTCATGGCTGCAATCACCATCTGCAGTGATGTTGGAGCCCAGAAAAATAAAGTCAGCCACCGTTTCCACTGTTTCCCCATCTATTTGCCATGAAGTGATGGGACCAGATGCCATCTTAGTGTTCTGAATGTTGAGCTTTAAGCCAACTTTTTCACTCTCCTCTTTCACTTTCATCAAGAGGCTCTTTAGTTTTTCTTCACTTTCTGCCATAAGGGTGGTGTCATCTGCATATCTGAGGTTATTGATATTTCTCCCAGCAATCTTGATTCCATCCTATGCTTCCTCCAGCCCAGCATTTCTCATGATGTACTCTGCATATAAATTAAATAAGCCAGGTGACAATATACAGCCTCGACGTACTCCTTTTCCTGTTTGGAACCAGTCTGCTGTTCCATGTCCAGTTCTGACTGTTGCTTCCTGACCTGCATATAGAATTCTCAAGAGGCAGGTCAGGTGGTCTAGTATTCCCATCCGTCTCAGAATTTTCCACAGTTTATTGTGATCCACACAGTTGAAGGCTTTGGCATAGTCAATAAAGCAGAAATAGATGTTTTGCTGGAACTCTCTTGCTTTTTTGATGATCCAGTGGGTGTTGGCAATTTGATCTCTGGTTCCTCTGCCTTTTCTAAAACCAGCTTGAACATCTGGAAGTTCACGGTTCACGTATTGCTGAAGCCTGGCTTGGAGAATTTTGAGCATTACTTTACTAGCGTGTGAGATGAGTGCAATTGTGCGGTAGTTTGAGCATTCTTTGGCATTGCCCTTCTTTGGGATTAGAATGAAAACTGACCTTTTCCAGTCCAGTGGCCACTGCTGAGTTCTCCAAATTTGCTGGCATATTGAGTGCAGCACTTTCACAGCATCATCTTTCAGGATTTGAAATAGGTCAACTGGAATTCCATCACCTCCACTAGCTTTGTTCATAGTGATGCTTCCTAAGGCCCACTTGACTTCACATTGCAGGATGTCTGGCTCTAGGTGAGTGATCACACCATCGTGATTATCTGGGTTGTGAAGATCTTTTTTGTACAGTTCTGTGTATTCTTGCCACCTCTTCTTAATATCTTCTGCATCTGTTAGGTCCCTACCATTTCTGTCCTTTATTGAGGCCATCTTTGCATGAAATGTTCCCTTGGTATCTCTAATTTTCTTGAAGAGATCTCTAGTCTTTCCCATTCTATTGTTTTCCTCTATTTCTTTGCACTGATCACTGAGGAAGGCATTCTTATCTCTCCTTGCTATTCTTTGGAACTCTGCATTCAAATGGGAATATCTTTCCTTTTCTCCTTTGCTTTTTGCTTCCCTTCTTTTCACAGTCATTTCTAAGGCCTCCT